CACGTCTGCGCGCGGGTGCACGGCAGCAGCCTCTCGCTTCCCCTCTGCACATACTTATTTTATATAGGACAGAGAGAATCAAGAAAGATTCTTTAATGTGCAATAAAACATATTTTAACTGGATTATTTAAATAGAGGATAAACTGAAAAAATAAAGATATATTTTTGAATAACTGCTTCCTCCTGTTTCTAAATCAGCGGCGCAGGGCGGCCTCGGTGCTGGCGCCGGGATGTTGCGGAGCTGGGCCCGGCTGCGGCGCCGCTCCACGCTGTGCAAGGCCCGGCCGGCGCCGCACGGCCCGGGCCAGGACTACCCAATGGCCCCGCGTCTTGTGGGTGCAGAGCAGCTACAGACCCTGGTGCCTCCTGCACGGGGAGGCCTCTTGTGAGCCCCGAAAGGGAGACGCATCCGGCTGGTGGACGCAGGGCACACGCGGGGGACGGGGCGCCGGGCGCTCCTGTGAGCGCCGGTTCCCGTGCCGCGGCGGCACCGCGATTCCGAGGAACATTGTCCCCAAGAATGGACAAGGGGGAGACCCGCAAGGAGCCGGCCGCGCTTCCACGCCAGCCCCGTCCGTGCGGCGCTCCCTGCGTGGGAAATTATGGCTGGACTGAGGGCAGAGTTAGGGGAGGAGGGCACTCCATGGACACCCCCACAGTGCTGCCCTGCGACACGTCCGGGCTGGTAGTTTCTATCGTGGACACCCACTACAATTGTTTACAAAAGCGCCTGTTTTCCGGGGCGATTTCTGCATTTCCTTTGGCCTGGTCTGAACCTCCCTTGGGGCCGGTCCAACAAGGGCTTACCTGAAGCTCTGCAGTCTTTTCTGAGCTCCTGAGTCACCCTGACAACGGACAGTTCCCTGGAAGAGCAGGAGATGGGCTGAGACAAGCTAAATATCGTAAATCCAAGGCGCCCGAGGAACTCGGCTCGGCTTTACGGGAACCGTGTGCAGTAAAGCTGTGATTCAGCGCCCTCGTCCCTGCGCGGCCCACGGTGTCACCACTGCCCTGGTGGCCGTGGGGACGGGGTTCTGCCTGCCCGCGAGGAGGAGGAGGAGGAAGAGCCCGGGTTGCTGCACAGCCTGAGCCTGCAGCGGGTTCCCTGCGGCACGTGAAGCCACACGTGCCATCGCGGCGAGCAGAGGCGCTAAAATGAGCCCAAGGCAGGGGGATGTAGTGGGGACGCAGCAAGGACACAGCAGGGATGCAGTGGGGATGCAGCCCGGCCCGGCTGCACCAGCACACACTGTGCTGCCGTAGCACCGTGGAATGCCATGGAATGCCACGGAATGCCGCAGAATGCCGCGCGGCCGGTTCCTGGCACAAGGGCGGGAGCTGCGGGGCCGGCCTCACGTGGAGCCAGCCCGCGCCGCTTCCCGCCCCGCAACACTTGTCACAGCAGCCAGTGCACGTGGAGCACGAGCAGCCCTGGCTGCATGTGCAGCACGAATGGCCCCAGCCGCACGCGGAGCACGAGGAACTCTGGCTGCACGCGGAGCATGAGTGGTCCCGGCTGCATTCAGAGCACAAACAGCCCCGGCTGCATGCGGAGCTCAAATGGCCCCAGCTGCATGTGCAGCACAAGCAGCCCCGGCTGCGTGTGGAACCCAAGTGGCCCCGACTGCACGTGCAGCTCAAACGGCCCCAGCTGCATGTGGAGCACGAACGGCCCCGGCTGCATGCAGAGCACAAGCAGCCCCAGCTGGATGCGGAGCATGAACAGCCCCAGCTGGATGCAGAGCATGAACAGCCCTGGCTGCATGCAGAGCGCTCCAGCCACTTGTCCTGCCACTCCACAGTGCTCTCCCTTGGGCTCCTGCACCTGCTCCATGCTTTTGGCCTCCTGCTCCCGCCTGCATCCTCCTGCGAGCTGCATCCCCCGGAACGCCGATGCTCCCCACACTTACTGGGGCAGAGTCCTGGCCTGGGCACCTTCTCCACCACCGCCGCATCCCAAGATTCCCGAGGGGCCGTTAGGCTGCAGCTCAATCTCACCACCAGCCTCCCTCCTTCACTTACTTGCATTTCCAACCAGCTGAACCACCCTAAACCCATGCAACATACTGATACCGGGCCATTTCTCTGCCCCTTTCTACATGTTTATCATTTCCAAATACATTTCTGCAGGTGCAAAAGCGTGTGTGGTCACTAGAGAGCTGCATTCAGGGGAAGTTAGAAGCCGCAAAGTTAGAAGCTAGAAGCCCCAGTGGACGATGCATCGCTGCAGAGCGTGGCTACATCCAGCGCGGCCCGCGTCACCATGAATCAGACTGTTTTCACAATGCCACATTGCTACAGTAGCTTCCTCACTTGTATTTTAAGACCTTCTCACCCAAGTTTACATAATCAATCCTGCAAGGTACAGCGTGTCCGTGTCCCCGAGCTAATCACGGAGGGTAATCAGCCCTCGGCCCTGCGCTCGTTATAAAAATTCAGCTGTCACCAAATATTTTACACCCCCCCGCCCCGAGCATGGGAAAGCAGCAATAAAGCTGAGCCCAGGCGTTTTGGGACCGCCGGTCCCTCCGGGCGCCACGGCTGGCACTGCCCCGGCTGCATCTGTCACCCACGGTGCGCGTAGGCGAAGCCGGGTGACCTCAGATGTGTTTTTCCCCAGGAAACCTGTATGCAGGAAGAGCAAATTAGTGGAGCTCATTCACCGTTAGGTTATTCAGGTACAGAGCAGGGCCATGAAGAAGCTCAGCCGCAACAAACAGCCCCACGAGCCCCGAGCGGCCCCGCTCCTGCGCCCCGC